TTTTTTTTTTTTTTTTTTTTTTGTTGTTGTTGTTGTTGTTGTTGTTTGGTTTTTTCTGCCTTCCATCCTTCCTTGAAACTGGAATTTCTTTAAATTGTCACAGGCCCTTGTCTCTCCTTCCCTAATGTTTCTCTTTTAAGAATATCTTATTTTTATTGATTTAATGACTGTTTTTATACCAGATCACCAGCCTTCTGTATTCTGCCAAGCTCCTCCATCTAAACTCATGTATCCAATTGCCCGTTCAACCTAATTTCAGGGCCAGGCACAGTGGCTCATGTCTGTAAGCCCAGCACTTCAGAAGACCAAGACAGGCAGATCACTTGAGGTCAGGAGTTCTAGAGCAGCCTGGCCAACAAGGTGAAGCCCTGTCTCTACTAAAAATACAAAAATAAGTCATGCGTGATTGTGGGCACCTGTAATCCCAGCTACCTGGGAGGTTGAGGAAGGAGAATTTCTTGAACCTGGGAGGCAGAAGTTGCAGTGAGCTGAAGTTGCACCACTGCACTCCACACTCCAGCCTGGGCAACAGAGTAAAACTCTGTCTCAAGACTATACATATTTGTGATATATAATATATATATTTTGAATGCCTTCAACAAAACTCCCATCTAAAAATGTTCAGAACTAAAGATATTACTTCTTTTTTCAAATCTAGTTCAACAGGATCATCTATATAAGCTAATGTCATCACCATCACTATAATAACAGAGTGTCCTTAGCATGTAATAAGTACTGGTCTAAGTTAAAATCAATTAAATGTTTTAATTAATTTAAGTCTTACAGTACAATGAGGTGGGTACTATTACAATGTCATTTTATAAATGAAAGACACAAGACTTAGGGAAGTTCAGTGAATTGCTTGAGGTCTCAGAGCCTGAAAATGGCAGACATGGGTTTTGAAATCATGCAGTCTTGCTTTAGAGCTCATACTGTCAGCCACTTTGCTATAACATATTGCTTGTCCTCCTTAAAAACATTATCTTTCTCATCCCATCAAATTCTGTCAATTGTATTTACTGAAATATGCCTGGACTCTGTTCAATTTTCTCCATCTCCACTGTTGTCACCCTGGTCTCAGTCAACAATATCTCTGGCCTACGTTAATGAAATAATGTGTTTCATTATTTCATCAATTCTTGCCTGTTACAGACCCATTCTACACACTACAGCCTTTAAACAAAAATCTAAATGTAGTTAATGAATACACAAACACCTGTCATCTTTTTGTCTTCTTGTATTTGTGTGTTTCTTAAATACATTTGTACATTTTCTTTTAGGCTGCCATGTGTAGGAAGGGTCTCAAATAGGCAATAATTGATGCAAGAACAA